TATATATATATATATATATATATATCTCCAGCTTCTTCAGCATTATCATGGGGAAGTTTTGGTAAAGAAAGAAATAAATCCAAAACAATTGTGGCAGTTGATGGTGGAGTGGAAGAACAATGAGAACTTTTTAGGATTCTTTTGCAGCCTGGCATTGCACTTCTCTGCAAACTTTGTAAGCTGTCATCCTCACCCCATCTACTAAAAAGAAGGTTGATGAGCACACTTTTATTATATCTCTTGGAGTCATTCAATAGTCGGTTTTGTTTGTCTCTCTTGAGAGTGGAAGTGATATAGTGACATCCACTGGGTGGGTCATGATAAAATAATTCAGAGTTGAAAATATACATGCCATTTTTTTTCTTGTATGCTAAGGCTAATTAATAATATGCTATTTCCTGCACTACAAGTCAATAATAGTGTAACATTATGATAAGCCAATTGATCCATGGAAACCTAATCCAGAGAAGGTGGGGTGAAGTAATAACATCTAACAAGGTGTGGGAGAAGATGATTCATATGGCAAGATGGTGAGAGTTCATTGATCCATCTTGTTGGGTTATCTCTTTTATGAGGAGCTGATTGGTTAGTTAGTCTAAATATGATTTGGTTCCACCCAGAGATTAATTTGGCTACAATAATGTAGTTTGTTCTCACCTATTATCTAGAAAGTAGAAACAGTGAAACCCTCCTATTGCTTGTGAAGAAGAATAGAGCACTATTGAGATAGATGAATTGAGAGAGAGAGAGAGAGAGAGAGAGAGCATGGCACATCTAATGTTATTTCTTCTGATACAGATGTAAGTATAAGGCTAGCAAATCCAAATCTCAAATTTTGCTTTCATAAAGGGGCTCATAAGAAAGATTAGAAATGTTAAGGTAGACTTTTGAACTCAAATGTGAGTTTTCATGAAGCATTTGTAACAAAAACTATGTGCATAGTATGTTATTAAGAATAAGCTTCCTACCGTTAAGCGTTAAAAGATTCATATAATTGATCTCAAATAATTAGAACATAATATCTTATTGTTGTTATTGTGTGCTATTATAATGATAAAAGATTTATATAGTTGATTCGGATGATTGAGGCATTATAATTTGTTATTATCATTATTATATGCTATTAAGAATATAATTTCATGTTTTAGAGGACCATTAGAGACAGTATTGTTTTGGTTAAGTCTCTTATATTTATAGCAATAGGGTAACAACCACAAAGATACTTTAGAATCATATCATAGAAAAAAGATATGTGATCTTAGACACCTTCCACATGATATACATAATATAGTAAACAAACTTAACTCGTTATAATCTTTTGAGATGGGGGAAAAGTAATAAGAAAGAAAATACAATCATATTAAGATAATCAAATATATTATTATTTTTCTTATGGAGAAGAGAATTTTCCAAATTAGTCTTGTCAAATACTCTTTTATTTTTTTCACTTGATAATTTTCTTTTCTTGTAACTAAATGGTTCATTCCATCTTTTATTTATTTATTTATTTATTTTCTTTTTCATTCTCATAATCAATATAGAAAATAAATTTAAAAATATTCTAAAATTATCATGTGATAGATAACTTATGACATACTTGAAATACCCCTATACTAACCATTTATTTCAAAAAAAAAAAAACGTCATGTATCGTGTTTACGCTTTCGTTGCATAGTAACATCTCGAGTTTATGAAATTGAAATATAGATCAACCTCGATAATAAAACATTTCAAATAAACTAAAATGCCTATGTAGAAGTTTTGAATTTTAAAAAAAATCAAATGAGAGAGATTAAAGAAAATATATAACTACGAGATTCATTGAGCGTATTTCCGAGATGAAAATCTAACTATAGAACCATACCACTGAAAAAGGATATGTTAGTCTTACATCGCGCTTACATCGAAAACAAACTCAATTCACCACCACTATTTCATTACAATCCTCTAACTACTAAACAAATAAATCATATCTTACCTTCTTACCGACACACATTTTCCAAATTCGACTTTCCAAATAATATTCCTTTGCCTTATATAGTTTTCCTTTTTTTATCTATTTCTTTTTTTCTTCCTCATAATCAACCTAGGAAATAAAATTGAAAATACTTTTAAATAATTCAATGTCATTAGTTATGATATACTTGAAAGTTTTCTACACTAACCTAATATATTCAAATAAAAAAATAAATAAATTGACCAGTATCATTGTGTGCTACTCATCCATTCTAGAAAGTCAAAAAACAAAAACAAAAGAAAAAGAGAAAGAAAAAATCAAAAAAGGTTTGATGATGATCAGATGGAGAAGAGGTGTAATGGCAAGGCAACATATATGAATCATGTATAAGAAGAAGAGTCTCGCTTCCTCCTCCGGCGGCAAGCCTTGCGGTCTTCCTCCCGCACACCAACCCGTCATGACCCCGCCAGTCACGCCGGAGCTCACTCGGACGCGGCCTCTCGCCATGGCTCGGTTGATCGAGGATCGTGGAAGGGCGGCGCTACCATCGAAGGATGACGAGGAGGCGTTCCGCACGCCGACCTCCGAAGAGAGTAAGCTCCCGTCTGTTGCACCGAGCTGCCCGCCCGCGCCGAGGAAGACGAGGCGGGTGTTGCAGTGCAAGCGGAAGCTATGGCCGGGACCGGAGTCGGTGGCTGCACGAGAAGCGCAGCTGCTCGGAAAGAAGAGGTGTGTCATCATCACAGCTGATTGATGTGTTTCGTTCACAGTCATCTCTTCTTTCTTCCCTCTGCAGCGGTTGTGCTTTGGTATGTATTTACGTTGCAGCATTGAGATCATGTTGGCGTTGTTTCATGGAGAATTGATAGAGAAAAGACGCTGGTTTTGTTTCTGAGTATAGGATTTTTGATCGAATTCTTTGTTTTTGTTGTTGTTTTATGCAGTAATTGATGGCAAAATATTAGATAATATTACTTCAAAAAAATATTATAAAAAATTAATAGCATATTATATCTCTAATAATAAATTAGGAATGTTGGAATTATATATCTATAAGTGCGATTATCGTCACTTTTGATCGATCAAATTACGTTTCGACATTAGTCTTCTAAATGACGCTCTGAGTCGTGAAGAATTGAATTAAGCTAACTCAAAGTTACATTCATTTTGTAATTCCTCTAATTATAAAGATATAATTAATTTTGAAAATCTGGTCTGAATTTAAATATATATATATATAATAATAATAATAATAATATGATAATAATGTTGGAGATAGAAGTAGGCATTGAATTAGTGGGACTTGGTGCATGAAGGAGAAATGTTGGGTGAGGGTGTGAAGTCCTTTTCTAGGATAGGGATAGATAAACGATTGCATTGTTGGGTAAGTGATGAAGATAGGTTTTAAGCTCATGAATGACTTCTTAATAAATTGTCAAAATTTTTATAGTTAACATAAACTTATTTATGATGTGATTTGAGAGAGTTTTTTTTTTTTTTGTTCTTCATAAGAATTATTATAGATAAATTTTAGAAAGGTGTAAGTAGTTTTTGATCGCATGATATTAGTGTTAATGAATCAAATGTCACTTTTTTTTTTTGGGCCAACAACAATTCCCAGCACATAATATTTATCCATTCACAGCTGTGTAATATAATTATTATTAGAATCTCTGAATTTATTCAAATAAATAAATATATATATATATATATATATTCAAAAAAATGGATCCAATGTCATTTTCTTGTAATTAACTTGCCCTTCAAGTATTTCTTAGATATTTGAACATGAAATCGATTTAAGTGAATCAAATAGATTCGTAACAAAAAAAAATCAATCGTTTTTATTCCTAAAATAAATCTGCATAAGAAATTGTAAAATTGTTCAAATGAAAGGAAATAGAAATTGGATAATTTTATATGTATTCTTGAAACGAAGAAAACTATAATTTCATGGAATTGAAATATCACTTCCAACGTTTTATAATTTGCATATAGAGAGGCTTGAATTAATGTACAACTTTTTGAATACGATATATGGCATTTTAAAATTTGCCAATTGATTGGCAAATTTTGTGATTTGGTTCTCTTTGATGCTGTAGATAATAATTACTCATTTTTTAGGTAATATGGTTTCTCTTTTGTCGGAAAAAAAATATTTATTTTTTCAAACTAACA